GGGGGGGGGGATCGGGCCAAATTAAACATAATCCAAATGCATGGACCCATATAGCACGGTTAAAGATTCATCCACCACACAAATGTAGAACATTCAACAAAGGGGTAGAGACAGATATTTAATGCCTAAAACCCTACCATTTGCAACATTTTTGTCGTTTTTTCTTCACTTTTAATCTTTTTTTTTATTTATCGGAGACAAATACTTGGATCGATTCTGATTTTGTTTAGCCATTGTAGACATGCTTTTAATTTATACATGCCTTACATAATGAAAAACAAATTTAAGCCCAGTAGTTACTTCTTTGTTTGTCGAAAATTTCTTTGACTAAAATCGAATCAATCGCAATATTGTAGTTTTTTTTCTTGTTCTTAACCAAGAAAATCATATTATCAAATTGCACTGCCATTTGAAACTCAAAAGAAATATGTTGTGTCGAAATAGTTTTTCGGTGACTATGATTATGAGTGTGGAATGCAAAGTGAAAATGTGTCTGATTTTTATTTTATTTATAAGCACCTACAGAAGTCTATTAACTAATTAGTGTAAATACCAACAAATCAAGAGCATGATTAGTTGAAAATATTATGATAACTGGAAAAATACGAACTATATAATAGTGGTGCATTTGATATGATTTTTGAAACTGATATTTATGTTCCGCCAACTAAAGATTTTTTTTAGAGTCAAAATTTAGGTTTTTGTTTGTATTTATTAATTAGACATGTGCTTCTATCATATAAACATTATTATTTTTTCTTAAGTTATTTTTATCATTCAAAATCAATTGAGATTTAAATTGTATTTTAACCATGCAACGTTTATATTAGTAACGTGAATAAAATAATTTATATATTTGTAGCATATATTAAGAAAATTAACATAAATAAATAAAAAAATTATTGGTGTTTCTGATTTTTAGAAATAAAAAATATATGTGCCAATCATGCACAGATGTACATATAATATTATAAGTAATATTTGAGAAGTTAATATTAAAATTTTAGATAATGAACATATTACATTTTCAAAAATTTGATCATTAGAAAAAAAAAAGAACGATTTTATTATGATGAAAAACTGTATATTACCATTAGATACTAATTGTTTAATTATTATTCTTATTTTTATTATTATTATTATTATTTAAACAATTATTTATAAGATTCTAAAGTTGTTTGACTATGCTATTAAAATAATTTACTAATTGTTTTTAAAGAAATTTTTCATGAGATACAAAAGAAAAAGATAATATTGATGTTAAAATAAATAACTTAAAACAATTGTTCTTAATTATATAATTTATATTTATTGTGAATTATTATTAGTTGGTATTAGCAATAACTATTATATAATATAATAGAAAAATACATGATTATACTCATTATGATGTATTAATGTGAGAAATAAAAAATATTAATGATAATTTTTGTAACCGAAAATGGAGGGAAAATGTTAGAGGTTTTATTAAATAAGTAAAATTAAATGCTATATGCTAGTAATTATATATATATAGATTAACAATTAATCACATTTCATGTTTTAAAAAATAATATCCCAAATTGATGGTGAACCCATCTTTAAACATCTCATAAACTCCCCCAAAAAAATTATCCAAAAGTTGATTCAATTTAGCATTTAGGGGATTTTTTTTCTAAAGCCGAAAATATAGAACACCTTTTTTGTAAAAAAACATTTGGTCCATTTTTCAATTTTCAAAAAATCACGTCCCTTGCAGTGCTATTTCGAAAACATTTATCTGCACACGCACTCGCCCCCCACAGCAAGACGACTGAAATTGAACCAAAGGATCCGCTTATGGCAGAGCACTAAAAATGGCATCCAAATTTAGCGCCGTCAACTTCTCCCCGCCAACTATTCCTCCGATCACAATGGAGCTCCGCCCCAGCTCTGCACATCATCCTCACACCTCACTCGGCAGAGAAAAAGAAGAAGAATTGACTAAAAAAGCTTTCCCTTTTTTTTTGGCTCATCAGCCACACCTCAGGCGGCGCCACCACCCACCACCCATTTTCCATTTCCTCAAAAAAAGGAAAAAAAAAAAAGAAAAGAAAAAGAAAATCGATTCGATCGTCCATCTGCTGTCCGAAAAAATGGATGCTTGAATTACCTGCGACGAAGTTTGACCTAGGCGGCAGGATTTGAAAACCAGGCCTGGTTTTGTCGGAGAACGGCACCCGCAGCGTGGAGAACTTGAATGGTTGTCCTTATGTACGAGTTTGGGTGAAGTTTTTTTTGTGTGTGTGTGTGATCGAGATGAGTGGAATTAGGGCAAATTCCTCTCGAATTGCATCCTCGGCGCTGTTGATCTGGCTTCTTGTTCTGGCCTGCTTGGGGCGAGTGTGGTGTGTGGATGAAGATGAATATTCCAAGTCCAGCAACCCTAAAGTGCTGAGCGTTGTCACGTCTCTCATTTATAACCAGATTCTGAATCTCACACAGATATTCAACAAGGAGATTACATCTACCTTGGGATATTGCACTCGTGACGTGTTAGTATTATCGTCATTGATGATGTTGATGGACTTTAATCGTAGCACCATTTTTCTTTTGTTGTTTGTTTCGGTTTCCTAGCCGATTAGCTCAAGTCTTTTTGCTTTTACCAGGGATGCTGATATGAATGGGGCGTTCAAATTCGGCAGTAATTTGGATTTTCTGAGTAATTGTGTTCATGATACCAAAGGTATTCATGCTTAATGCTGTAAAATGGGCAGTTTTATGAAGGATTCTTGCTTTTCGAGGGCTATCGATACTTTTGATGTGCCAAATGTAAAAAAAAAAATTGATGTATATGTGAGGAGATTTATAGTTTCAGCAACATGGAGTGTTGTTTTATGCAATGCTTAGTTCTACAACACACCATTCCTTCTACACATAGTTATCATGATTAAGTTATAAATCTTCGTCATCTCTTCGTAATCGCTTGTTTTTTTTGCTCAACTCAACAGATGTAACAAGGAGGATCTGCACAGCAGCGGAAATGAAGTTCTATTTTTCTAGTTTTATGGATACAAAGTCAGCTGATGCTTCACTCTTAAAACCCAATAGAAACTGTAATTTAACCTCTTGGGTTCCTGGATGTGAGCCTGGTTGGGCGTCCACTATTCCTCAAGATACACAGGTTGACCTGAAAAACTCGAAGGATTTTCCTGATAGAACGATCGATAGTCAACCTTGTTGTGCTGGTTTTTTCTGCCCCAGAGGCCTCACCTGCATGATTCGTAAGTGCCATTACTTCTTCATGATAGAGTGCTGTCTTTCACATAAAAGATGCAATCTTATTACTGCACAATATACTGCTTTCCTTTTAGGATTATGGATTTCACATATTTGATCTGTGATGGTATAACAGAACCTCATATGCTGTTCTGCTGTTCAGAAAGAGAATAAATGAATTGTGCGTTGGTTCAATGACTGGGCTATACTATATCCACTTGAAATGTGTTTTCTCCACTGTTCTCTGTGTGTGTGTGTTTTTTTTTTTCTTAACTACATTGGAATAAGTCTAACAAGCTGCGCATATTATTAGTAATAATTATGTGCACTTTGAATAAGTTTGTAATGCTTGCATGTCCCAAATAGTTGGAGTTCTAGGATTGGCGAGGAAGTTCGCCGTACTTAATTTGCCTGTCTCAGTATTTCTCTATTATATATTTTAATGAAATCCTAATTTGAGACCTCCTAAATCTTCATGCGAAATGATCAAGGTCATTCGTAGGGCTGGAATCGACAGTATGTTGCTAACCTAATCCAGCTAATGTGCATGGTAAAATGTCTAATTGAATACTCTAATCCCTTTGTGTGGTCCTCTGATTTCATGCTGATGATCATATGAAAAAGGTTTCTGTGGTCCGGATAATTTGCATATGCGGTGCACTATAGGTTAAACCCTTACCCGACCGAGGTTCTAGCTTTCTGAATGCTTAATGACTTATGTAAAGCTGGCCAGTCAGTGAATATCTTGGGACTAATTAATATTAGTTGCTTTCTACCCTTGAAGCTTGTCCTTTAGGCTCATATTGCCCGCGCGCGAAACTGAATAAAGCAACTGGCATGTGTGAGCCGTAAGTCTATTGCAGCTCGGACTTTTATTATCAATAAATACAACCATTATCACTTGTACGGTCTGTTGATAATATTTTTTATTGAAAAAAATATTTACAGGTATGCATATCAGTTACCTCCTGGTAAACTGAACCACTCTTGTGGTGGAGCGGATATATGGGCGGGTGTGACTAGTAGCGACGAAATATTTTGTTCAGCGGGATCATACTGCCCAACTACCACGCAAAGGAATCAATGTCATAAAGGGTATGTTTTATCAGAAGGCTCAGATGCTTAAATCCTTCACCAATGAACACCACATATTAAAAGTAGTTCCTTATATGTGTTTTTGTCCATATTTACTGATCTTGCTTTTCCACAAATCCAGACATTACTGCCGGCAAGGCTCTACCGAACAAAGAGGTACCCTGTTATATTCTTTTAATTTCATCCACAAACCAAATTTGGTGGAACTTATTTGAAGTTTAAATTACTAAACTTCATTGATTCTTAATGAAGAGGAGGTCAGAGATGGCGTGTTTCTTCCAATGTTAACTTCGTAAGATGTACATTTGGTCATAGTATGTCTGTATAGCAAGTGACTCACTTGGACTTTCTGGTAATGATATTAAATAATATTGAGAGGAAGTTCGCCAAATTGTTTTAAAAAACTATTCAAGTCTGTTACTTGTTTAGGCCTACCAAATTTGTGTAGGCCAGGTGAAATTTGCTGTACATATTATGTTTGTTCGTGTTACCTTCCTTGGCAACTCTATATAGTTCCTTGAGGTTTCTTCTTCTGGTCTAGAGCTTATGTTCTTTTTGCGCTTTATTCTCATATTATTCTTAATGTATTTGCAGCTTGCTTCAAGTTGAGTACATGTAATCCAAATTCTGACACACAGAACTTGCATGGATATGGATTTATGCTCATTGTAAGTGGGAACCCATTATAATACTACTATTATTCTAAAATGGTTCTTACACTTCTATTGTTCTTGGCTGCTTCAGGACAAAACAGAAATGTACATCAATTGAATACTCGCTCCTTCACTTAGAGATAGGCTTACAACAATATCTATACAGTTTAAGAAAACACAATCATTATTGTTGGGACATAAAAAGTATGCTAAATTCAATGACCATTCTATTAGTTGTTTGATTAATTAAATATCTTTAAATAACAGTACTCTTTTCTGGGACCACTTAAATGGAACATGTTTATCTTTTTTGGGACGGAGGGAGTACATAGCACTGACTCTTTGCATTAAACCCAGTTGTAACTTGATTCCACGTGGTAAATGCAGGGTATGCTGAGCTTGGTGTTGATAGTGTTCTACAACTGCTCTGATCAAGTCCTCACAACTCGTTATGAAAGATTGGCCAAGTCCAGAGAAAGAGCAGCAAGAAGTGCCCGTGAAACGGCAAAAGCAAGACAGAGGTGGCAGTTTGCAAAGGAAGCTGCGAAAAAACGTGCTACCGGCTTGCAACACCAGCTTTCACGCACATTCTCACGTAAAAGTGGCGATTCGTCAACCCTTCCACCCAAAATCCCGAGTAACTCAAGTGCACCATCATCTGGTGCTCCAAAGTCTAAGAAAGAAGCTGGCAACCTAACTAAGATGCTGCAATCACTCGATGAAAATCCAGACAGCCACAAGGGTTTTGACATGGCGATTGGGGATAGAAATATCAAGAAGCAAATGCCCAAAGCAAAACAGCTGCACACTAAGAGTCAAATATTTAAGTATGCATATGGTCAACTAGAGAAAGAGAAAGCTATGGAACAGAAACAGCAGAACCTGACTTTCTCGGGGGTAATTTCAATGGCCACTGATACAGATATGAAGACTAGGCCCACTCTTGAGGTTGCTTTCAAAGATCTTACCATTACTCTGAAACACAAACACAAGCATCTGATGAGGCGAGTGACTGGGAAAATTATGCCTGGCCGAATATCTGCTGTCATGGGTCCATCAGGGGCGGGGAAAACAACCTTTCTTTCTGCTGTTGCTGGAAAGATAAGGGGGTGCATCATATCCGGTTCAATTCTCATTAATGGAAGGCCAGACTCCATTCACTGTTACAATAAGATTGTTGGTTTTGTCCCGCAAGATGATATTGTTCATGGAAACTTGACAGTAGAAGAGAACCTCCACTTCAATGCTCGATGCAGGTACATTAGTCAATGGGATTTCATACATGCACCTATAGCCACATATGTGATGTTACATAAGCTAATTTAGATTGCCTGAGGACTTCTTGTACTCGCTGACTGATATATTATTGTGTGCTCAGCTGGAAATTTGTTTTGAAACAATGATTTAATATTCGAATTTCTGAAAAGTAAAGATTGATTGTATTTCCCTTACAATGTAAGTTTTGTTTGTGATGGCGAATCACTAAATCATGGGTAGAAGAGTATGGGACATTTCTTGATCTTCTCTAAGCCTAGCTATGTTGAATGTAAGATGAATTTATCACTAGTCTTGAGGCTCTTTTTCTTCAATTTATTATTACCTAACTTTTACTCTTCCCTTTAATTTGTTTTTTTTTTTCCCAATATGAGTTGCTTTATCTGGTGGCTGGTTTATTATCACTTTTGTTGCTCAAGATTGAGACATGAATTTGGTTTATCGTTATTTTTTATTTTTTTATTTTTTGACAAATTGTTGTTTCGTTTTTCTTTATGCTAATTGTTGTTGTCTGCCTTTTGGGCTTCAATATCATGAAGACTTTCTTCAGATATGCCGAAGGCCGATAAGGTTCTTGTTGTTGAAAGAGTGATCGAGTCCCTTGGACTACAGGCTGTGAGGGATTCTCTAGTTGGGACGGTTGAAAAGAGAGGCATCTCTGGAGGCCAGAGAAAACGAGTTAATGTAGGGCTGGAAATGGTGATGGAACCTTCCCTCCTCATCTTGGACGAGCCGACATCTGGCTTAGACAGTTCATCTTCTAATTTACTCATTAAAGCTCTTAGACGTGAAGCTCTTGAAGGAGTCAACATCTGTATGGTTGTTCACCAGCCCAGGTACGAAAAAACCCATTGATATCTGAAGCTCCTTTTGTCTTAATTATAGATGTTTCTAACTTTATATTCACATTGCCCGAGTCCAATGCCATTGGCTTAAGTTTAAATTTCCAACTGAAATCACATTCCATTACATCTGTAGGCGAATGCTGTTATTCCTTCCTTCCTTTTTTTTCTTTTTTCTTTTTTGGAAAAAATATGCCATTCACAACTTAGGTTGAAGCCGATTCCCAAATGTTATTGTTTCTAATGCCCACATTTATAATATTCCCTGCTTCAGCTACGCATTGTACAAGATGTTTGACGACCTGATCCTGTTAGCTAAAGGCGGCCTCACTGTGTACCATGGATCAGTTAAGAAAGTCGAAGAATACTTCGCGAGCTTCGGCATAACCGTGCCAGAACGCGTAAATCCTCCAGACCACTTCATCGATATCCTCGAGGGCATAGTCAAACCGAGTGCCGGTTTGGCCGTTGAGCAGCTGCCTGTCCGGTGGATGCTCCACAACGGATATCCTGTGCCTCCTGATATGTTGAATTTGTGTGATGAAATTGCATCTGCTTCAAAAGGCGCGAATGGCGGAGCTCTCAGTGTTCCAGAACCTTCTTCCACCGGAGGCTCGTGGAACGATGGCGAGGAGATCTCGCAGCAGAGTTTTTTCAAGCCCTACGACTTATCCGGGAGAAGTACGCCTGGTTTGATCCGGCAGTACAGATATTTCCTCGGAAGGTAATGTGATTCACATTTTCAGTTCCTGAGCTTTTCGTTCTGCATATGGAAAAAATAAGGTTGAAGTAATCTTATTAGTGATTTAATGTGAAAAATTTTCAGAAATAGCAAGCAACGGCTACGAGAAGCCCAGATTCAAGCAGCAGATTATCTGATACTTTTACTCGCTGGAGCTTGCTTAGGAACTCTTTCCAAAGTGAAAGGCGACACCTTTGGCTATTATGGATATATGTATACAGTGATTGCAGTCTGTAAGTAGATTACTTCTCTTACGTATAACCTGCTTTCGCCGTAAAAATTTATGCTTAGACAGATGACTGCCACAGCCTTGTTTTGGTCAAGACCCAGGATGAAACTTTGAAATACAACTTTAAGGTCCCTTGTCAGAGCTTTTATTGTTCTCTAATATTAACCATGTTAACTTCTGCTTTGCAGCGCTGTTATGTAAGATTTCGGCCTTGAGATCGTTTTCACTGGATAAATTACACTTCAGGAGAGAGAGTGAAAGTGGCATGAGCAGCCTGGCCTATTTCCTCTCTAAGGACACTGTCGATCATTTCAATACCCTTATCAAGCCTCTGGTTTTCCTCTCCATGTTTTATTCTTTCAGCAACCCAAGATCGACTTTCCTGGAAAATTACGTTGTCTTGCTCTGCCTTGTCTATTGTGTTACTGGCATAGCTTATGTTTTTGCCATCTTTCTTCAGCCCAGTCAAGCTCAGCTGGTTTGTGTCCTCAAAAACTCATTTTAATAAAATATTTACACGCCTGTTGTTTATGTTTTGTTTTGCGCGTGATGCTGATGGCTCTTTTCTTATTTTTATTTTAAACAACAGTGGTGTGTGCTTCTTCCCGTTGTTCTTACACTCATGGCAAATCAAGGTAAAGATGACAAAATCGGGAAGACAATAGGTGTATATACTTATCCGAGGTGGGCCCTGGAGGCGTTCATGATCGCAAATGCTCAAAGGTCCGTGCCATTTTTAAGTTTCACCTCCAACTTAGTTCTCGATTGCGGTAAAAACCTGCTGTTTAAAATAAAAAAAAATGGCTCATATTTAATCTAACTTGCAACATCACTGCACCAGATACCTTTCGTTATCAGACATGCTTTTCTTTCTTCAATTTAATTTCATGAAAATGCAATTATAAAGTTTCTTTTGAATTTAATGTCTCTTTCAGATACTCGGGAGTGTGGTTGATAACTCGGTGTGCTGTATTAAACGATCTCGGCTACGATGTTCATCGTTGGAATTACTGTCTACTTTACCTCATAGCCAGTGGTGTATTCTTTAGGTTTTTAGCTTACTTTTGTTTGGTTAAATTTGGGAAGCCATGAGTTTTTTCCCTTACTGTTCTCTTTGTTTTTTGTGTTCATCTGTGGGTATATAAAAGAAAATTCAAGAAGAAAAGGGGAAAAAAAAGGGACTAAGGCTTAGTTATTTTAGCTGATGGCTAGTTGTAAACACAGACTCACCTTGATTTTAGTTATGTTGGCCCATAAAAACTTTTGTTGGCCTTTTATTTTGTTTATTTTCAACAGAACAATTGTGCCCACACCAGATTGTGAACCGTTGGATCGATATACACCTGCATTGATGTGTGAGTGTGCGTATGATCCGACAGCTCCCGATGTGGATAGATCAGTTCAACACATAAGCATTATATTCCGAATGGATGCAAATAATTTATCTTCTTTTCTTTGAATTACAGAGTTTTTTTTTTTTTTTTTAATTTTTTATTTTTATTATTATCTTTGTAGGAGGCAATAAAATATAGATTATGGGTTAATGTTGTTATTACTATTGCGAAATGAGTAATTCGAAAGAGAATATGAGCAAACACCGTTGCACATGGCTTTTCACACGCGCAACCTAGTTGTAAAGGGGAGGGAAGCTTTTATACGAAAGCTAAAAAATACGTAAGTAAGCTAGGGGAAATAGTAAAGTTTAAGTATGCAATAATACGCATATATGTCAAACATTATTTGAGTTTATTCGATACCATATATTCGCTCAAAATGAGTTTTGATAATATTAAAAATAATGAAGTTGAATTGAAGGTGAGTTAAATTTCAGTATAGTAAATTAGAGGTTTGGACTCGATATAATATCTGTCTATTTGCTAAGAAGCGGTTCAAGTAACTTTTTGATTAAGGCCTTGTTGGGTAATCGGTGGTTAGCTGTTAGCGGATTGCATTAGCTGTATTGACTAGCAGGTTACGCCAGCTGTTTTGACCAGCTGATTGTGTTGACGGTTTGCAAAAGAGTGTAGGGTAAATTAACTACTTTTAATTAACTGTTAACATGTAAAATTACTTATATGGACATCGATTCTTTAAAAATGTTATTTATTTAAAATTATAATTATTTAGAAATAACTATTACTTATATTTAAAATATTTGTAAACAACTTAAAATAACATAACACAATTAAGAAATAACAATATATAATTGTGAAGTGAAAAATATGAAGAAGATTCTAATTTGACATGACAACAAATATTCATAAGAAATGAAATAAAAAACATAAAAATGTAAAAAATCGCATATCAATTACCAACTTTTAATTTTTTACTATTTCTCTATATATTTGCACATAATTCATCACTCAATCTTTTTTTTTTTTTTTACAAACACCTAATTCACTTAATCCAAATGTCAATGGCGTATTCAAAAAAATTTGAGTTCATTTATAATCTCGCTTTGATTTTTAAACCAATATGTTAAAATCTATTTTCTAAGCTAACATTGATTTTTAAATTAGTATGCTAAGGTGATAAAATAACATGAGGCAAAGGTGGAAAAGTAATGAAATAGAGTAGATTAATGACAAATATGACTTTTTTATATTTTTTACTCAAGAAGCTATTTGAAAAAGCTTTGATTTATAGCGTTTTGAAAAACAACTAGACTGAAAAAACTATTTCAAAAAGCTATTAACAAAACATTTTAAAATGGAATAGTTTAAAAGTCAAACAATTATTTTGTTTAAACCGCTGACTTGTGACGAAAATGCCATTTGACAAACATGGCCTAAGAAGGCTAGCAATTTGCAAATTTAGTTATTTACATGTAAAATTAATCATCAAATACTTATATCTAATAACTAAGACAATCATCTAGCTAGATTTTTTTATTAAATAATCTATCCACTATTCGACATTCTCTATTAGTTAAGTTTCTCTTGTCTATAGATATATGTCGGGTTCTTTTGATAATAATACTCAATTGATCAAGACAAAATTGCATCTGTCATCACAACATTTTCGACTATTGCACTTTAGTCACGGGTTTTGGACCTTGGCACTTCGGTACATTTTTTTTTTTGAAAAAGCGAGCATTGAACAGGTTTTTCGACGAACCAATGTCAACATGTTCGGCAATTTAATTGACGTTATATATTTCTCAGACAAAACGACAAAGTCAGATTGAACGACATCGTTTATATTAAAGCCCAAAATCTAAATTCATCTCTTCAAAATAAAAAATCTAAATCCCTAATTCCTCTCTTCAAAACCCATAACCCTCGACGACCGATCCAAAATTCTCTCTTCAAATCCCAAAAATCCCTGCAATCTCGACCAAAATTAATCTCTCTACACATGGCGAGCAACTCGACGAATAGTGGACCTTCGAAAGGGAGTGCAACCAACAAACATCTCCATTTTTATCAGGAAATAGAGACCGGTTTTTTCACCTCACACACTGAAAGAAATCCAAATCAAAGATACTACTGTTGTCGACTTTGAAACGTAAGGTTTTGGGGCGGATAATTAGAATTGATGCTAATGTAAAAAAAAAAATTTTGTCCAACAATTTTACCCTAATTATTTTTATTCTTCATGTTTTAAAATAAAAAAAAATCTTTCAATTTTTTTTTTTATTGTAGTCTGATGATTGTAGGTTCTTTTTATGGTTTGATCCTGAGATGCTGCCATTTCAAAATGTTACTTTCCTGAAGGATGAAAAGAAAATTTTGGGAGATGAGTTGAAATGCAAAGAAGATGAGCTAAAATGATAGTCTCAAGACTGGACACGATGACGAGAGATGTTGGAGCTGATAGAACATGCTGAATTGGAGGATTTGATCGACTTAATCATTAAGAAGGAAAAGAAATTTTCAACTTCCGTGATTATGTTCATGTTGGCATGCTTTTTTCATGTGTTAATGTTGAAATAGCTAGAATCACATAAGAAGTGACTATTGGTTATATTGAGAGGGTTGATGAATTCTGCTATGTTTAGTTTAGATTCAATCTTTAGCAGATGTAGGTATTATTGGTTTATGACAGAAGTATGTACTTTTTAAGATTTGTTTTTGTCACTATAAGAAAGTTAAGTGAAATCTAGTGCGTGCGTTATGCTGAAAATGTGTTTTACAATGCAATGTCTGTAACTTATGTTGAAGATGTGCTGGAGATGTGCAATGTGTAACGTATGTTGCTCAACATGGGGGTAAACTTACCAAATTATGTTTATTGGCATCATAATAAAGAACATTCAATAATAAAAACACCAAATTTTCCATCATTCGTTCATAGTTCCAACTGTCAAACAAACAAATATCATTGCAATCATCCATTTATTTTACTATTTTAAAAATTCAACCAAAACCAACAGTTTTGTCCAAACATCCCATCAACAGTCAAACTGGATATTAATTGTCTGCACTCTATTGAGTGCCAATGGTGTTGTCTTTGTGACCTTCTTCCTCTGTTACCCCTTACTCTATGATCTCCTTCTCTATGACCCCTTCGTTGTCTTTGTGAGCCACTGCCACTGCTCCAACCTCCAGATAATAAATGAGCCTCCATGAACAAGATGAACCCTTTTCTCAATGCACATATATTAAAACCAATGTAAATATAAGCAAAACAACAAAATAGAAATATTTTTCACTAGTGTAAATATTAAAGCCACTGTAACTAAAGATGAATTTTATACCCTCATGTAAATATTTCTAGTCTACACAGACACCATGACCCTATAAAATGACCCTATAACCTTTCTTGGCTTATCATAGACATACAAATGTATTTTAATTTGAATGACCTCTTTACACTGAGCAATGTTTTCAAACCTCATTCCAAACTCAAATGTCAGTGCCTTGTGATCACAGATTTAGCCATTCATCACTATTTTTTTTTTTTTTTTTT